CTGTCTGCCCGTCTGTCTCTGTGTCTGTCTGCCCGTCTGTCTCTGTGTCTGTCTGCCCGTCTGTCTCTCTGTAAAGTGACGACACAATTTCTCTCGCAAAGAGGATCAAAACTCCTATCCAATCAAGGTTGCAAAATGTGAATGAACGAGCTCTGTCCGTCCATCCGTCCGTAACTTGGGGTCACGAAAACTCTCTCAGAGATGATCCAATACGAACAGCACCTTCCGAGCGCAAGGTTGCATTGCCGTTCGTCACTGAACCGAGTGATTGATGAAGCATGCGGGACACGAGCCCAGAGCAAACTGAGGGCGCCACCGGCCGACACGGCCAATCAGTAGTGAGGGTTTGTCACGTAAACAGAAGGTGGCCAATTCGTCACTAGTACAGCAACACCAGTGTGTTGGGGAGCAAAGATGAAAACGTTGATCTGTTTTGTAACATTAATCCAATGTTGTGGCTTTGTTCAAAGTTCATTGATTAGGTATAGCCCTGTGAGCCATTCGGCTCTTGAATCGGGTGCAACCGCAACAAACAAAAAAACATGAACAAGAAAACATCTTAAAGTGACTGAGTGCAAACAGAAAATCCAAGAAAAGACAGCTAAATATTGCAGAAAAAGCACCGTACACCAACCCTGTGCAAATATCCCAGTGGGATGCAAGTCAAACAACAACAACCACAAGACAACTTAGATTAAGGCCATCAGTCTAACTCTGTACTACAACAAACATACATGGCCACACCAAACATCTTTTCGAAAATCACTAAAATAAAGCCATAAAAGTCAAACAACAACAACCACAAGACAACTTAGATTAAGGCCATCAGTCTAACTCTGTACTACAACAAAGAAACATGGCCAAACCGAAAAACTTTTCGAAAATCACCAAAATAAAGCAATGAAAGCAATGAAACAGTGATCATAGGAACTGTGATGGAATTTTCACAATAAACGACATAAACAACATGAATTATCAAACTCTGCAGCCATAGCTGGCTGCATGAGTCACTCCACAACAGCAGTAGGAGCATCAGTCGGAGTATCAACATTTTTCAATGCACCTTTAAGATCAGCACACTAAATCAAAACACAGATCATACTTTACATACGTTGGTGTTCTCGACCGCACAACCGGTGTTGCTGTACTAGTAACAAATTGGCCACGTTCTGTTTACGTGACAACCCTCACTAGTTGGCTGTGTCGGGTGGCAGCGGGTTTAACGACACATTTATACATTCACGTGATCTAACCCGCGAAACCCTCTATTGTGGTCCTATTCTTATTTTTTTCAGAGTTCAGCACTAAGCGGCTGTGTGTTGGAGAGCGAAACCCACGACAACATTTAACGAGAGCGAGTAACCGGGAGATTCAACCGATTGTGTCGGTGGGGTCGAGAAACATCCCAGGGAAGGAGTAGTGAGTGGAAAGCTGGTCCCCTCCCGTAACATTCTAAGATAAAAAAATATTGGTAAAATTTTTTTTAAAAATAACAACAAAAGTCCAGTCGGTGTATTTTCTCCGGCGAATATCAATGAAATCCCATTTTTCTGAAATACATTTTTTTAGATAAAAAAATAACAATTTGGGGGGGGGGGGTTGGGTAGTGGGGTCTGGAGGCAATCGGCAGAGGTCGCAACCGGGTACCCGATACCCGGCTACCCGTACCCGACCAGGTTTGCGACCCTGGTGCGGCCGGGTACGGGTAGGCCGTGAGTCACTGGTGAGTCACCGTTTGTCACTCATTTCCCAACGTCTTGTCTCTTCTCACAATTCAAGTTCCTAGAATCAACCCACCCGCGCCTGCAACATGGCTTCATCCCAGAGGTCGCAATCAGGTACCCGATACCCGTACTCTACCCGATACCCGGCCGGGTATGGGTTGGGTACGGGTACGGCCGGGTACGGGTACGGGTACCCATTTGCGACCCTGGTACGGCCGGGTACGGGTAAGGAATCAAAACCCGTTTGCGACCTCTGGCAATCGGTGGGGCTCAGGGTAGACCCTCCAATATCTCTCGCCGAGTCCGGCTTGTTGGGGAGTGAGGTCTTGCCACGACCTGCGAGTTTGTGACTTTTGGAGCCGGTGGCTTTAAACATTTGAGACCGTCGGCTGCTAAGTAGGCCCTGATAGCCAGGCCAAAGTCACCCAGCCACCCACGATGATCTTGGGTTCTGATCGTGAACACAAATGCGAACAGTTAAGCTATGCATTTATAAAACATTACACTGGTCAACAAAAAAAAAAACATTTTTTTCTGGCCTGGATTTTGCAGCTGTTTTAGACTAATTTCAGGGTCTTAGTTCTTTCGAAAGAACTATGAGTATGAATCCTTGCAGTCACGAAAGCTTCAAATCTAGAATTAATTTCAGGGTGCTGATTCCAAATCTGATCTCAGATTTGCTCTATCACATCTCATTTTTATGCTATCGGCATACCCCCATTTCCATTGATTTTACCCGAAATTAACTCTGTCACTTATGATTGCAAGTTGTTGCGAGTCAGTGACTGCTTTAGTGTTACAATATGGTGCTGTGTTTTTAGGATAGTGTGTTTACAATATCATTTTATGTAGATATCCACATTTAATATTTTTCTTCTTCAGTTTTTATTGAAAATGCAATATTTGATATCTCAAAAATAGACAAAAACTGATGCCAGATTTGGAATCAGCACCCCAAAATACCTTAAAACCGTTGAAATACCTTAATGCCAGAACAAGTGTGTTGACCAGTGTTATATATATCATGTTATTATATGTACATGCACATTTTGGCAGATATATTTACAGATGAATTACATATGTGATGTATGCACGCAAGCTGCTTGAATAAAGGAGGAAATATCCTTTTTTGCGGGGGGTGTCTTGTGCCCTGTTTCAAGAATTTAAGGTTTCAATTTGCAAGGCTGTGTCCTCACCACCAAATAGTGCTTAACTCTGCCCGGCGTCACCACATCAGCGAAGCGAAGCAAGCAAGGATGTCACGTCCTGAGTTCTAGTAGCGTAACAGGGTTGATGGACCACCACCACCACCACTACTAAACAACACAGGTGTTCTAGCAAACCTGTCAACCCCTTATCAGTGCCCTATCTTATTAAATCCTTTATATTAAGTTTGCTTGCTTGCTTGCTTAGGACCGTGCAAATCTTTCGGTCGTTTTTTAACCCACTTCCCGTGATCCAATCGAGCTGACATTTTGCACACAGACTCGTTGTGCGTGACAATTTATGTTCGTGAAATTTTTTTTCCAAACTTTTACACTTTTTAGGGAAAAAATATTATATTTAATTACCAATTGCTTAATGGTGCAATGCAATCATCTGACCCATAGGTGGCAGCCATCTCAAGCCAGAGGACGAGAGGACTCTAGCCGCCACGCATATAAAGGATTTATAGTGAAAAACTTTGTTTTTACGGGTTATACTTGTTACAGACCAATTCAGACATTAGTGGTCACTCCGTGTTCTTTCTAAATCTCAACGTTCATCCCACAAAGTCCCATCACAAGGGAGAAATACAATTAGATTTGTTTTATTTGAGGGTTGGGAGGGGGGGTGAATCTATACTCTTTGGTTCTTTCGGTAAAGTCACGTGGGTAGAAAATAAAATATTTATTTTATTTTATACCTAAAATAAAATATTACAAATATTTATTTTATTTTATACCTAAAATCAAATATTTTTCATATTTATTTTATTTTATACCTAAAATAAAATATTTTAAATATTTATTTTATTTTATACCTAAAATAAAATATTTTTAATATTTATTTTATTTTATACCTAAAATAAAATATTAAAATATTTATTTTATACCTAAAATAATTATTTAAAATATTTATTTTATTTTATACCTACGTGACTTTACCGAAAGAACCAAAGAGTATAGACTTTTTTTCGCTCAATTTCCCCTGTACAAGAATACGGGTAAACCATATCGGTTGACACGGTATCTTTTAGGGTTACGGATGGAGCTTCGTTGTGAGCAACAGAGTGGAGTGCAACATTGATCAGTCGGTTTAACACGGACTTGTAGGGATTTCGCAACCAGGGTTATCCATAAGAGATTTTTTTTTGTCTTTTTGGTTCTTTCGGTAAAGTCAAGTAGAAGGATAATAATAAAATAATAAAACATCAATGGGAGAGTGGTGATAGGAAGCTTAACGTATTGCGGAAACCCAGCCCGTAGCGGAGGTTAAATTCGATTTAAAGCTTTAAAGCTTTAAATCGAAATTTATACAAAACTTTAAGCTTTAAAAAGCTATTACTACACGTATTACTACACTATTATGACTGCACTATTAATACTACACGAGTATTATTACTACTGCTACACTAGCATTACACTATTATGACTACAGTAGTAATATTACTACACGAGTCATATTACTACTGCACTACGATTACTACACTATTATTACCACTGGTACACTTACCAAACGCGTTACGTACATCGCACAAAAACGACCCTCGCGACCTTCCATCCCCTCCCCCCCACCCACCCACCTTACGTCATCACAACTCGGCACACTAAAAAATCCACCATCTTACATAAGGGGTAGTGTCCGAGACGCCCCCCCCCCGCACGTTGATGACGTCAGATCTGTCCATTGACATTTTGTTGCGGGGTTGCCCCCCCCTACGTAAGATGGCGGCCGCCACCTTCACGAGCACCTCAGGTTGACGTCATATCCGCCCGTTGACATCTTGGTGCGGGGTTCCCACCCATTCCTCCAACCACCCCACGTAAGATGGCGGCCGCGACCTACACTAGCACTCCCCGAATGACGTCATATCCGCCCGGCGACATCTTGGTGCGGGGTTCCCACCCACTCCTCCAACTACCCCACGTAAGATGGCGGCCGCGACCTACACTAGCACTCCCCGTGTGACGTCATATCCGCCCGTTGACATCTTGGTGCGGGGTTCCCACCCACCCACTCACCCCCTACTCCAACCACCACCCGCCCCACCCCACGTAAGATGGCGGCCGCGACCTTCGCTTGCGCGCACGTGGAGGAAGGGCGAAGTTGAAGAGGGAGTAGGAGGTAGCAGCAGTAGCTAGCAGCAGTAGGAAGAAGAGGAGTAGGGTGTAGCAGCAGGTAGCAGCAGCAGTAGCTAGCAGCAGTAGGAGGAAGAGGAGTAGGGTGTAGCAGCAGGTAGCAGCAGCAGTAGCTAGCAGCAGTAGGAAGAAGAGGAGTAGGGTGTAGCAGCAGGTAGCAGCAGTAGCTAGCAGCAGTAGGAGGAAGAGGAGTAGGGTGTAGCAGCAGGTAGCAGCAGCAGTAGCTAGCAGCAGTAGGAGGAAGAGGAGTAGGGTGTAGCAGCAGGTAGCAGCAGTAGCTAGCAGCAGTAGGAGGAAGAGGAGTAGGGTGTAGCAGCAGGTAGCAGCAGCAGTAGGTAGCAGCAGTAGGAGGAAGAGGAGTAGGGTGTAGCAGCAGGTAGCAGCAGCAGTAGGTAGCAGCAGTAGGAGGAAGAGGAGTAGGGTGCAGGAGGAGGTAGCAGCAGTAGCTAGCTAGCAGTAGGAGTAGAGCAGCAGCGAAGAAGGAGAGAGTATTATTATTTGGTTCTTTCGGTTAAGTCACGTCTAAAGATAAAATAAAAAATTAAATAAAATTGTTTTTATTTAATTTATTATTTTATCTTTAGACGTGACTTAACCGAATAATAATTCCTGCAGTCACGAAAGTTCTAAAATTAAGAAGGAGAGGAGTAGTAGTAGGAGCAGGTCTCTGTGGTAGCAATGGCTTGGGCACTGCAGACACGCTCGCTTGCCCTGCGCATGTCGTCGTGCCCCTGGGCACCGCTGCTGCTACAACAACGTGGCTCCTCCGTCTACCGGAGCATCTACAGCTTGGACAAGCTGCACCCGCCAGGCGGGGCAGACGTTCAGGCGACGTTGAGCAGCGCCAAGGTGGGACCACGTTGTTGAGATGGTGTGGAGTGGACTGAACGCATGATGTGGCAAACACACACGTTGGGTTTAGGCAGTTTTCTTGTACAAGACACTAAGGTACACTATACACTATTATACTACACTACTATACACTATACAGTACTAATATACACTACACTACTATACACTACACTATACACTACACTAATATACACTACTATACACTACACTATACACTACTATACACTACATTATACACTACACTATACTCTACACTACTATACACTACACTACTAAACACTACACTACTATACACTACATGATACACTACACTACTATACACTACACTACTATACACCACACTATACACTACACTATACACTACTACACACTACACTAATATACACTACACTACTATACACTACATGATACACTACAGTAAACACTACACTACTATACATTACACTACTATACACTACACTACTATACACTACACGATACACTACACTACTATACACTACACTACTATACACTACACTACTATACACTACACTACTATACACTACACTATACACTACACTATACACTACTATACACTACACTACTATACACTACACTATACACTACTATACACTAGACTATACACTACTATACACTACACTATACACTACACTACTACACACACTACACTATACACTACTACACTATACACTACTACACTATACACTACTATACACTACTACACTATACACTACACTATACACTACTACACTATACACTACTACACTATACACTACTATACACTATACACTACACTATACACTACACTATACACTACTATACACTACACTATACACTACACTGTACACTACACTATACACTACACTATACACTACACTACTACACACTACACTATACACTACATTATACACTACACTACTATACACTACACTATACACTACTATACACTGCACTACTACACACTACACTATACACTACATTATACACTACACTACTATACACTACATTATACACTACACTATACACTACTATACACTACACTATACACTACATTATACACTACACTACTATACACTACTATATACTACACTATACACTACTATACACTACACTACTATACACTACACTACTATACACTACACTATACACTACATGATACACTACACTATACACTACACTATACACTACATTATACACTACACTACTATGACCTGGCAAGCCGTCCCATCGCCGTCGGTCGGTTCGCGTTGCAAGGGACGCCGCGCTGTGAACATTCTGAAGCAGGACAGGATTTCGTCGGTAACTTTTTGTGAACGGAGGAGTTCCGAGTCTAACGATTGGATACTCTGGTGTGGTGTGGTTTGGGGTGTTGTGTTGTGGGGTGTGGGGTGGTGTGGTGTGGGGTGGTGTGGTGTGGGGTGTTGTGGGGTGGTGTGGTGTGGGGTGGTGTGTTGTGGTGTGTTGTGGGGTGGTGTTGGGTGGAGTGGGGTGGTGTGGTGTGGGGTGTTGTGGTGTGGTGTGGGGTGGTGTGTTGTGGTGTGTTGTGGGGTGGTGTTGGGTGGAGTGGGGTGGTTTGGTGTGGGGTGGTTTGGTGTGGGATGGTGTGTTGTGGTGTGGTTTGTGGTGTGGGGTGGTGAGTTGTGGTGTTGGGTGGAGTGGGGTGGTTTGTTGTGGGATGGTGTGGTGTGGGGTGGTGTGTTGTGGTGCCGTGTGGTGTGGTGCCGTGTGGTAACGTGTGTTGTGGGGTGGTGTGTTGCGGTGTTGTGGTGTGGAATGGTGTGGGGTGGTGAGTTGTGGGGTGGTGTGGGTGTGTGGTGTGGGTGTGTTGTGGTGTTGGGTGGAGTGGTGTGGTGGTGGTGTGTTGTGGGGTGTTGTGGTGCCGTGTGGTAATGTGTGGTGTGCTGTGGTGTGTTGCGGTGCCGTGTGGTGCCGTGTGGTAACGTGTGGTGTGCTGTGGTGTGCTGCGGTGTTGTCGTGCAACGCAGGAGACGAGCGGAGAGACTCATGAATACGCCGGAGACATTCCTGTTGGTGAGTCTCGCAGCGTCCCCCCTGTCCAATGCTCTTCTCCATTGCCAGGCATCAGCATCATCATCATCATCGGAGTCATCGTAAAAGTAGTGCAGTCAACTCGGGGAAGCTGACTGCCAGGATGGTGTAGTGGTTATCACTACACCGCTCTGGTGGTTAGCACGAGATCAATGTGGTGTGGTGCCGTGTGGTGACTTTACCGAAAGAACCAAGAAGATACACCACTCTGTCGGGCATTGGAGGAGGCTCGTGAAGGACACTGCTGGTCCATTTGGAGGCTTCTTCTTGGTTCTTTCGGTAAAGTCACGTAGAAGGGAAATAATAAATAATAAAAAGAAAACATATCCTTTCTACGTGACTTTACCGAAAGAACCAAGAAGATGAATCCCTGCAGTCACGAAAGCTTTAAAATAATTTTATTATGTTTTATTTTTATTATATTATTATTTCTCTTCTACGTGACTTTACCGAAAGAACCAAGAAGATGAATCCCTGCAGTCACGAAAGCTTTAAATCGAAATTTAAGCGCATGCACGTTTAGCGCTTGAGGTGCATTCCTGAAGAAGTAGTCACACCTCGGTATACGACCGCTTTGAAATACGTCGAGTTTGGTATACGTCGTGTTTTGACGAGAAATAAATGTCTTGGGATACGACGTCTCGCTTGGGATACGACGTCTTGCGACGAGTTACGTGGACTGCCACGGTGGTGAGATGTTGACTACCTCGCCTGGTATGCCGGGGGTCGTGGGTTTGATTCCCGACGTGTGTATATTTGGGAGTTTGCGTGTCTCTCTCTCTCTCCCCGTGGCCGCGTGGATTTTTCTCCACGTCCTCCGGTTTTTACCCTCCACATTTAGAATCGTCACGCGTTTTGAGTTCCTTGGTTGCTGTACATTTCCACATGAGCCACTTTGCCGAGCCTTACCTGGTAAAGTAATAAAATAGTTAAATTTAGATTTAAAGCTTTCGTGACTGCAGGGATTCATCTTCTTGGTTCTTTCGGTAAAGTCACGTAGAAGGGAAATAATAAAACAATAAAAAAAATTTTATTAGTAAAAAATATTTATTTTATTATAAATAATAAAAATTATATAATAAAAATATATATATAATAAAATAATAATAGTTAAATTTGTTAATAGTTTTTTATTATTATTTTATTATAAATAATACAAATTATTTTTATTAATAAAACAACAAGGCTACTCCTACAACTAATTGGGAATGGGACGCAAGCGTAGGATTAATCACCCTGTCGCTGGCCGCCTTTGGGGAGGGTGTATCGTGTGAAAGGCCGAAACACCCTAGGAACCAAAGGTTCACTAGTGATGATGCGCTCCCCAAATTTCACCAGGCTCACTGTTCATGAACTCTTGGAAGTGCTTGCACAAAGGATAGTAACATCTCATCCTGTGTTCTTGGAATCTGATTATTATTTCCCTTCTACGTGACTTTACCGAAAGAACCAAGAAGAATAAAATACTTAATCGTTTAGTTGACTGCCGGTTTAACCACGTGTGGCTGCGTTTCTATTTAATTTCAGATCGTTTAAAAGTTTCCTACAGCCGGAGCAGCGGACCTGGAGGACAAAACGTGAACAAAGGTGAGACAAAGGCAAAAGATCTCCCCCCCCCCCATCGTGTACGTAGCCTTAACAGACTGCCGGGGCAAGTGCTGTTCGAGTTTTAGTTTTCAGTTTTATTAGGAATAGCCCTGTGAGCCATTCGGCTCTTGAATCGGGTGCAACCGCAACAAACAAAAAACAAGAAAACATCTTAAAGTGACTATGTGACTCTGCGCAAACAGAAAAATCCAGGAAAAAACTGCAAAGTCTTCCAGAAAAAAAGCACCGTACACCAACGCTGTGTGCAATAATCCCAGTGGGATGCAAGTCAAACAACCACAACAACCACAAGACAACTTAGATTAAAGCCATCATTGTAACTCCATACTACAACAAACAAAACATGGCCAAACCAAAAAAACTTTTCGAAATCGCCAAAATAAAGCCATGAAAGCAATGTAACGGTGATCATAGGAACTGTGACTGACATTTTTCGATTTAAAGCTTTCGTGACTGCAGGGATTCATCTTCTTGGTTCTTTCGGTAAAGTCACGTAGAAGGGAAATAATAAAACGTCGTGAGAATTATTTTATTATGTTTTATTTTTATTATTTTATTACTTCCCTTCTACGTGACTTTACCGAAAGAACCAAGAAGATGTGACTGACATTTCACGACGAGCACGCAGCACCTTCGACAATAAACGCTGGGCCTAGGCGCTGTTCGGTGTCCGCTGTAGTTGTGCTCTTAGGCCCGATTTTATGTTCTCAAGATGACGATGCCTTCCGCCTGTCCCCGCAGTGAACACCAAAGCCGAGGTTCGGTTCCACGTGGCGAACGCCGACTGGCTGCCGCAGGACATCCGGGACAAGCTGCAGGAAAAGGTGACCGGGGGCGGCGATTGTTGACGATTTATCGGTCGTGGATACGTCCGCTGCAAATCTATTCTGAATATGCTTAGGTTTTTTAAAAATCCTTTATATTAAGTTCGCTTGCTTGCTTGCGCGCTTACGACCGTGCAAATCTTTCGGTCGTTTTTTAACCCACTTCCCGTGATCCAATCGAGCTGACATTTTGCACACAGACTCGTTGTGCGTGACAATTTATTTTCGTGAAATTTTTTTTCCAAAATGTTACACTTTTTAGGAAAAAATAAATTATATTTAATTACCAATTGCTTAATGGTGGCAGGCAATCATCTGACCCATAGGTGGCAGCCATCTCAAGCCAGAGGACGAGAGGACTCTAGCCGCCACGCATATAAAGGATTTATAGTGAAAAACTTTGTTTTTACAGGTTCATTTTTTTACACTATGAGACCTCCTTTACCAGTGGCAAAATATAGTAGTAGGTTTTTACCCTTTAAACTGGTACAAAAATGCACGCAAAAAAAACAACTCTGATAATGATTATCAGAGTTGTTTCTTTTTGTTTGCATTTTGACTACTTGTGTTGTGGTTATTGAAAACATGATGCCTTTGTATAAAGGTGTCAGTTTTGTACCAGTTGAAAGGGTAAAAACCTATTACTATATTTTGCCACTGGTAAAGGAGGTCTCATAGTGTAAATGCTTACCCCGAGCTCTCAATACTCTGATAGTGCGCTGTGTTTGAGTTGTACGCCTTTTGGCGTCATCTGGTCCAACACCAATGGAGACTAGGCTCTAAGAAAAGCTGTCTCGGGTGTGGACCAATCAACTTCAAGGACAGTGCATATCATTATCATCATCATCATCAGAGTTGTTTCTTTTTGTTTGCATTTTGACTACTTGTGTTGTGGTTATTGCAAACATGATGCCTTGTATAAAGGTGTCAGTTTTTTGTACCAGTTGAAAGGGTAAAAACCTATCACTATATCCCTTGGATACCCTGGCCAGACACTTATATGTGTCTACATGTGCCCTCTGTTGCCGCTGCTGTTTTGGGTTTAATAAACAAACCAAAAAAGTTGATTTAAAGCTTTCGTGACTGCAGGGATTCATCTTCTTGGTTCTTTCGGTAAAGTCACGTAGAAGGGGAATAATAAAATAATAAAAATAAAACATAATAAAAATAAAACATTATAAAATACAATTCTCACGACGTTTCATTCAGACGCTGTCTTTCCGACAGACCTGTTCTTCACCTGAGGACGGCTGCTTGCGTTGTGGCCGAAACGTCGTGAGAATTATTTTATTACGTTTTATTTTTATTATTTTATTATTTCCCTTCTACGTGACTTTACCGAAAGAACCAAGAAGACAAAAAAGTTTAATTTGCCGATTGGAGAGGGCAACACGGTGGTGGGAAGTTCTCAGCCGGTCCGGTTCACACTCAAAATGTTTTTCTTTCTGTGTCCATCTCCTTCACCAAACTTTCACCTTCGTTTTATTTTCCCCGCCTACCCGACGGCTCAGTACAAGCACCGCATCGTGCGCTCCGGCGAGCTGATCGTGACGTCGCAGGCGAGCCGCTACCAGATGCGCAACCTGTCCGACTGCCTGCTCAAGCTGCGCCTGCTCATCGGCGAGGCGGTCACCACCCTGGTGCACGAACGCCGGCAGGAGAGCCCCGAGGAAGCGGCCGTCCGACGCGGCAGGTGATGACGGCGCTTGGGAAGGGCGGGGGGGGGTGGGGGGAGGTGATCGCAGGACCTTGAAGCGCGTGCCGGGCTGAGTTTCGTGAGCAGATGTTCACGCGCTGACAGGTTCAAGACCATCTACCTATACGTTTTGTGTACATTATATAAGGTCACGCTCATGACGGGGACAAAGCACTTGCCACAAAATGAACCACCAATACTTTCTTCTTGGTTCTTTCGGTAAAGTCGCCACGTAGAAGGGAAATAATAAAATAACAATAAAACATAATAAAATAATATAATAATGTAGAATAATATAATGTTTTATTATGTTTTATTTATATTATTTTATTATTTCCCTTCTACGTGACTTTACCGAAAGAACCAAGAAGATGAATCCCTGCAGTCACGGAAGCTTTAAATCGACATTTAATGTTGTTCTTGGTTCTTTCGGTAAAGTCACGTAGAAGGGAAATAATGAAATAATAACAAAATATTAAACAATTAAATGCTCACCACGTTTCGACTGCAACACAAGCAATCATCATCAGGTGTGAAATCCACAGCAATAATTTTTTTTCTTCAAATTTTCTTGCTGTAGATTCCACACCTGATGATGATTGCTTGTGTTGCAGTCGAAACGTCGTGAGAATTTATATTCTTTTATATTTTTATTATTGTATTATTTCCCTTCTACGTGGCGACTTTACCGAAAGAACCAAGAAGATGAATCCCTGCAGTCACGAAAGCTTTACATCGAAAAATATTCCACTTCTGCCGTCCCTCTTGTTGTGTCGTCGCGCGCAGGGTGGAAGCAATGAACAGAGAGCGACTGAGACAAAAGAGGCTCCACTCGTCCGTCAAGAGCGATCGGCGGGACCACGACGACTGAGCTTTCGGCGGATCGAGGCTCACTGCCACATTCGCCAAACGCCTCTCTCTCCCACAAAGCACCTTGATTCAAGCGGTGGTGGGGAGCCCACAGATTGGGTGAAGATTTCATTTCATCCGGCACCGTGGCCGCAACACCAGGCCTTGACGACGAGGAAACGTCGGCTCGCGAAAGAAGATATTCATCCTAGATTTGAAGCTTTCGTGACTGCAAGGATTCGTGTTTTTAGGTTTTTTCGGTAAAGTCACGTAGGTAAAAAATTAATAAAAGTAAAATAAAAATAAAATAAAAATCATGACGTTTCGGAGGCAACACAAGCTTCCGTCTTCAGGTGGTACCCGAAACGTCGTGATTTTTATTTTACTTTTATTAATTTTAAATTTTTACCTACGTAACTTTACCGAGAAAACCTAAGAATAAGATATTCATCCATCGCTGCAAACGCCCTAGCCGCTCTAATCGTGAACCGATAGAGGAATTCTTTCAACCTGGTTGTCAATTTATTTTAGTTTTCTTCTAAAATTTGCGACATGGCAGAGTAGCCCAAGTAGCCACTAGAGCAGTGGATTATTAACCTTTACTGCAGCCCAGAGGTCGCAACCGGGTACCCGATACCCGTACCCTACCCGATACCCGGCTACCCGTACCCGGCCGGGTATGGGTACTCGTTTGCGACCCTGGTGCGGCCGGGTACGGGTAGGCCGTGAGTCACTGGTGAGTCACCGTTTGTCACTCATTTCCCAACGTCTTGTCTCTTCTCACAATTCAAGTTCCTAGAATCAACCCACCCGCGCCTGCAACATGGCTTCATCCCAGAGGTCGCAATCAGGTACCTGATACCCGTACCCTACCCGTACGGGTACCTGTTTGCGACCCTGGTGCGGCCGGGTACGGGTAAGGAATCAAAACCCAATCATTGTTTTTTTACCCTTCTATCTGGCAACAAAACTGACACCTTTTTTACAATGAGGCATGTTTGCATAGACCACAATACCTGCAGTTTTGTTGCCAGATAGAAGGGTAAAAAAACAATTATAATTTTTTACTGGCAAATGAGGTTCCAATGGTGAATCAAAACCCGTTTGCGACCTCTGCTGCAGCCTTGCAACCCCTTTGGCTCTCAGTGGTAATACAATGTTAATGCATCGGTTTTATGAAACGGAGTACAGTAAAACCTTGGATTGCGAGTAGCTTGGTCCGCGAGTGTTTTGCAAGACGATCAAAATTTTTTAAATAAATATTAATTTGATAAACGAGCGAGGTCTTGCAATACGAGTAGTACGTGTATACGCTTTGTCTGCCGAGCGTCACGTGATCACAGCTGATGTACGAGTGCTTTGGATTACAAACAAGTTTCGGGAACGAATTATGCTCGCAATCCAAGGTTTTACTGTAGCTGTAACTTGCGTGCCCCGTGCTTGATTTGTGTTTCAATTTACCTTCAAAAATAATCTGGCCATATCTGTGTGATGCTCCCCCAGCTTAAGAAGAAGAACCACTGCACTAGGCGGGGTGGGGGTTGGGCCCTCTAAGAGCGCCTTCAGGTAGAGGCCTTTCCGGCAAGCAGCGGTGAGGAAGCAATCGTTAGGCTGCACCGCTGCGGTCGCCGTGCAGAAGTTTCCGAACAGTTCCATTACGCCCCCGTCCCTCCTCGTTCAAAGTGGTAAAAATCCCACAGCACCCCCCCCCTCCCCTTGGTCTTGAGGCTGCTGCGGAAAACCTGGCGTCAGAGGTTCGAGGGTTTTTCAAAAGGATAAAGTGGCACGCAGAGAGAAGTGTTGGAGACACAGCAGACACCTTGCAAAGTTGAAGGGCAGAAACCCGGTATTTATTGGCTGTTAGCTGACAGCAGTTTAACACAATCCCCGCGGGGTGGGGTGGGGGGGGTATAAAACGTGGGTGTACGAATGCCGCGCCGCGTTCCTGTACAATTTGTGAACCGGAGTGTCGCCATAAAAAACATGTTTTTCATTTACTTCAATGGCGAGTTTTTATTTGTTTTGTCGAGTTAAGAAAAGTCGGGGCGGGAAGGAGCAGCTACTGGGAATTCCGCTTTGCAAAATTCACACCAACTGCTACGATGGGTCTCCCGCCGGCTGCTGCACCCGGTTGATCAAAGAAAAACTTTTCAAGAACCCATCTTCTTGGTTCTTTCGGTAAAGTCACGTAGAAGGGAAGTAATAAAATAATACTTTACCGAAAGAACCAAGAAGATGAATCCCTGCAGTCACGAAAGCTTTAAATCGAAATTTTCAAGAACTGTCGTCACTATTTGGTGCTGGTCCAAAACAAATCCACGCACAGGCTGACCTCGCCCCTGTGACAGAATTTTTTTTTACAAAAAAGCAAATCCAAAAATCTGAGCACGCGTACCAATTAACACCGAAGCACGCCGTGATTTCACTATCTTTGATTCGTGGTCACCATTTAAAACATTTTTTTCGTTAAATTTGTTGCTACAAATTGTGATAATGGGATCACGGGAGAGTTCGGCGCCGATTGGCTGAGCGTACGTCACTGTCATTGGCTGAGACGCGGGGGGTGGGGTCCGATTTGCCCAGCGTGCGTTCTCATTGGCTGAGCGACGCAAGGGGTGGCGTCTGATTGGCTCAGAGCATACGTCGCTGTCATTGGCTGAGGGGCGCGGGGTACGTTGACCTGGCCACCGCGCTTTAGAGAGGGTTTGATTTGAAAAAAATGTTAGCTAATTTTTTTTCTCCGCGACTCGGAGAGACGTAACGCATCAGCGTTTTACGGGGTCACCGCCAATATTGTATTGCTCATGCGTCAGAAACAACACTGTCAGGGAAACTCATCCCCATATGTAACAATCGTACAATGACCCCCCCCTTTTAGCGCCGATTCCATTAGCGCTCGCTTCTCCAGGAACGCGTCTTGAGCGCTAAGCGAGGTCGTCAAGCTGTACAACATTACACGCGCAGTAGTGTGGGGGAAGTCGAAGGGAGCGGTGGCGCAGTGGTCGTCGCACGGCACAACGAACCTGCCGGCCTGGGTTTGTATCGTGGCTACGGCGAGCATCGGTAGTGAACGAAACCTGAGCCGATCGCGAGCAATCGTGATCAAATTTCGATTTAAAGCTTTCGTGACTGCAGGGATTCATCTTCTTGGTTCTTTCGGTCAAGTCACGTAGAAGGGAAATAATAAAATAATAAAAATTAAACAAAATAATGAAGACCAGGTCTGTCGGGGAGACAGCGTCAGAGTCTGTCTCCCCGACAGACCTGTTCTTCACCTGAGGACGGCTGCTTGCGTTGTGGCCGAAACGTCGTGAGAATAACTTTATTATATTTTATTTTTATTATTTTATTATTTCCCTTCTACGTGACTTTACCGAAAGAACCAAGAAGAACAATCGCGATCAATCGCCAACCCCGCGCTAAAGCAACCCCCCGGTAGCTTGCACCGTGTGCAGAACTTCTTCCAACAGCGGACCGGCAACCGTAAAATTACCGTGATGTCACGTGACATGCAAGGCATTATGGGACAACTAATCCTAATGGCCGCTAACGCACCTTTTTTTAAATCCTTTATATTAAGTTCACTTGCTAGCTTGCTTGCTTACTTACGACCGTGCAAATCTTTCGATCGTTTTTTTAACCCACTTCCCGTGATCCAATCGAGCTGACATTTTGCACACAGACTCGTTGTGCGTGACAATTTCTTTTCCTGAAATTTTTTTTCAAAATTTTACACTTTTTAGGAAAAATAAATTATATTTAATTACCAATTGCTTAATGGTGCCAGATAATCATCTGACCGATAGGTGGCAGCCATCTCAAGCCAGAGGACGAGAGGACTCTAGCCACCACGCATATAAAGGATTTACAGTGAAAAACTTTGTTTTTACGGGTTAATTTTTTTACCATCAGCCCTCGAGCCAGATCAGAAATCGGTGCCACCTGAGGTGTCGTCAAATCTTTAGTTAGTGCCGCTTCATACACGGCGAATTACCCGATAACGCCGCTCGTTTCAAACGGTTTTCGCACAAGTTCGCCGTCAATTGCGCGCGTCAAGAAATTGGAACCTCCCGCTAAACGCTACGCTGCCGACAGCCCCGGGGCAGCAGGCTCGGGCCCAACAAAAAATTTGCGTGGCCTTCGCATTTCATCGCGACGCCGTGGTCAGCCGTGGTCAGCCGTAGTCAGCCGTAGTCAGCCGTGGGCAGCCGTGGGCAGCCGTGGGCAGCCGTGGTCAGCCGAGGACGTCGGTGGGCAGCTTGAAGTCGTAGAACGAGAAGAAGGAGACGTCTCCGGCATCCACCACGCCGAACACGAGAACCGTGTCGTCACTGCCGACGCCGCTGGTGGTGTCGCTGGTGGTGCCGCTGGTGGTGCCGGTGTCGCCGCCGCCGCGTCGCGCCAGGAGCTTCAGCGCCCGGAGATCGGGGACCGGGTCCTCAAAGCTGCCGGCGTTTTACACGGAGAGTGAGGGGGGGGGGGGAAACGGACGCTTTTCAATATTTCAACCTGCCAAGTTTGACACGTTTCATCTTGTTGGTTCTTTCGGTAAAGTCACGTAGAAGGGAATAATAAAATAATAAAAATAAAACATAATAAAATACAATTCTCACGACGTTTCAGTGCTGCGCTCGTGGCCACTGACCAGCAGACACAGATGCGGGCGAGGGGGACGCCCGGCCTCGTCTTCTTGAAGTCTGTGTTGTCAGCCGAGAAGACGTCGTAGCTGATGGTGAAACTCGTGCCGCGTCTATCCTTCACCTCGCTCCCCTCCTCCTCCTCCTGCAGCAGCCTACAGTGCGGCACAGGCCGGCGAGAGACAAAGATAAAGGTTCCCCGTGTAGCCTCTAGCAGACCGATGTAGGGGCAAGTGCTGTTTAGCGAGCAGCTGCGAAGGCCGGCACGGCACGCGTGTGGTCAGCACCACGCCCGACACGCACAAAGGTGCTCACATTTATACATTACAGTAAAACCGTGGATTGTGAGTAACTTGGTCCGCGAGTGTTTTTCAAGACGAGCAGAGATTTTAAATAAATATTAATTTGATAAACGAGCGAGGTCTTGCAATACGCGTGGTACGTGTATACGCTTTGTCTGCCGAGCGTCACGTGATCACAACTGATACACGAGTGCTTTGGATTACAAACACGTTTGCGGAACGAATTATGCTCGCAATGCAAGGTTTTGCTGTATAAGGTTGCACTCAGATTTAAAGCTTTCGTGACTGCAGGGATTCATCTTCTTGGTTCTTTTGGTAAAGTCACGTAGAATGGAAATAATAAAATAATAAAAATAAAACATAATAAAATAATTCTCACGACGTTTCGGCCACAACGCAAGCAGCCGTCCTCAGGTGAAGACCAGGTCAGTTTAATTTTTATTATTTTATTACTTCCATTCTACGTGACTTTACCGAAAGAACCAAGAAGATGAATCCCTGCAGTCACGAAAGCTTTAAATCGAAGGTTGCACTCAGTACACACGAGGTGCTTTCTACAAATGAACCACATTCGTGGGAACATCACCCACTTAAATGTTGCCGTACCGCACCTTTACTCTCCACCAAAAGCGGAGAGCACGCAGGGAGGGTCAATGCCCCAAATATTGTTGACCTTGCTTTCACACGGTATGTGAGCAACATTGTGAGAGAGACATTGTTCTTCCATACCACAATACCATGCTCATCTCGTCAGGAAGCATACAACCATCGCACAAACTCTGGTAAATCCTCGCAGAGGCTTCTGGCTAAACATCGAACAAAGACGGGCAGATTCGCTTCTGCGGCCGTCTGGAACGCTCTTTTCCTTCCGATATTCGGAAGCCACTCGGAGCTGTGCGAGTTGAAATCTAATCTGACAACTAATTCCTGACAAACTGCCTTTTGTGCTTCGTTTGTTGTCCTTCCCCCGCACTTAGCGATTAGCACGTGACCAGGTATGGTGCGAAAGAAGTTCCACGCACGCACGCACGTACAAAGTGCCGCTAAGAAATTGATTCGTCGCTTTCGTGACTGCAGGAAATACTCTCCGGTTCTTTCGGTAAAGTCACGTAGAAAGAGAAAATTATTAATTTAATAATAGTGTCGTGACATAAGAAGGGAGGGGCTGCTGGGGGCTCTGGGACCCTGGGCGGGCCAGACGCTTAAACCTCTTGGCGCCAGGCGTTGGGTTCCCAGGCGGGTCAGACGCTTAAGCCGCTTGGCGCCGCCAAAGGGGGGGCTGTGTGTGCTCTGTGGGATATCTGGGGGCGCACACAACCCCACCCCTCGTTGGGGACGAGGCATAAAAGGGCAGCTCCCTGGACGATCAGGGCCAGTCGTAGCTCAAGACCCAAGACCCAAGACCAGCCATCTGAGGACCCTGGGACGCTGTGAGGGCCAGTGGTGGGACTCTGGAACTCCCGACTCTACGACCTTGTGAGGGCGAGTTCCAGAGCGTAGCCAGAGTAGAGTATCTAGGCTGTGTACCTAGGCTGTGTACCTGGGAGTTGTTACAGAGTATCAGGACTGTTGGACTGTTGGATTGCTGTTGGATTGTAATAAAGAAGTTACCTCTACAAGTGTCTCCGGAACCTGTTACAATAGCATACGACGTTTCGATTGCAACACAAGCGCATCATCATCATCACGTGTTATCTATCTCTGCTTACGTGTCTGTCTGTGTGTCTCCTGTTCTGTGTTGAATCTCTCTCTTAAATTTAGCAATCTTTGTAAGAGCGTAATCAACCAGGTCGGGTGTTGACTGTTGTATTAGCCGACTCTCTGTGTTGTATTGCATTGTAGTTCTAAGTTTACTAGGTTTTGTTTTCTCTTTCATTAGTACCCGATGATGGTTGCTTGTGTTGCAATCGAAACGTCGTGTGCTATTATTAAATTAAATGATAAAATACGACGTTTCGATTGCAACACAAGCAGTTGTTATCAGGAAGAACTACATTTGAGAGAGACAAAACACAGACGCGGAGACACACAGACAGACACATAAGCAGAGAGAGACAACACAGAGACACATAGAGACACACAGAGACACACACAGAGAGAGACACACAGAGACACAGACAGAGACAACAGAGACACACAGAGAGACACAAAGAGACGCACAGACACACAAGCAGACAGAGACAACACAGACACACAGAGAGACACATGTTCTGTGTCTCTCTCTGTGTCTCTGTGTTGTCTCTCTCAGCTTGTGTGTCTGTGTGTCTATGGTGTGTGTCTCTCTCTCTGTGTGTGTCTCTCTGTGTGTCTCTGTGTTGTCTCTCTCTGCTTGTGTGTCTGTCTGTGTGTCTCCGTGTCTGTGTTTTGTCTCTCTCTGTGTCTCTGTGTGTCTGTCTGTGTGTCTCCGTGTCTGTGTTTTGTCTCTCTCTCAAATGTAGTTCTACCTGATAATGACTGCTTGTGTTGCTATCGAAACGTCGTGTGCTATTATTTAATTGATGATTTTCTCTTTCTACGTCACTTTACCGAAAGAACCAAAGGGTAAAGTGCCGCTAAGCGAGCAGCTGCGAAGGCCGGCACGGCGTCGCGTGGTGCCGGTATGGACCGGTACCACGCTCGCAACGCACGCAACGCTCGCATCGCACGCAACGCACACAACGCTTGCAACACACGCAACGCACGCAACTCACGCAACGCACGCAACGCACGCAACTCACGCAACGCAACTGTGATGGCAGCGGTGTCCGAGTGCGTCACATCGCGGCGTCAGAGATCGCGGCGAAGTCTCCGAGAAAGATCCGCGCAGAATGTCCACTCACCGCGACGCGCCCTCCAGGATGTGCATGGGCGCCACAACGCTTATCTCCTGCAGCAACTCGGCTGTCGACACAACAACAACAACAGCAGCAGCAACAACAATTAACAACAATAACAAGCCGGCCAAAGCCAGTGGATTGAGCGAGCCTCTCCTTGTTAAGGTGGCCGCCGCTACGCCTATGCAGGGTGATTAAAAAATGTTTCAACACTCATATATGACTATAGTTTTTAATGGAAAAAATTAACCCGTAAAAACAAAGTTTTTCACTATAAATCCTTTATATGCGTGGCGGCTAGAGTCCTCTCGTCCTCTGGCTTGAGATGGCTGCCACCTATGGATCAGATGATTGCCTGCCACCATTAAGCAATTGGTAATTAAATATAATTTTTTTTTCCTAAAAAGTGTAAAATTTTGGATTTTTTTTTTCACCAAAATAAATTGTAACGCACAACGAGTCTGTGTGCAAAATGTCAGCTCGATTGGATCACGGGAAGTGGGTTAATAAAAAACGACCGAAAGATTTGCACGGTCGTAAGCGCGCAAGCAAGCAAGCAAGTGAACTTAATATAAAGGATTTAAAAAGAACGGATAACACACTGTGACATGACAACAAAAGTGTGCTAATAGCTTTAAAACGTCAATGAGTCTCCACTTGTTCGCCATCGTTGTCAACGCGTCGCCTGGAATCTTCTCCCGGTGGTCTCCAGAGCCCAGAGGCATATTTCTCGTGGTGTTGTTGCAAATTCTCGGAAGTGTTCACATTTTACTGGTGGAAACCTCCTGGTTACACCGGCCCACAGGGGATTATTGTGTCCGTCGTGCAGGGAGGGGCTGGGTGGAGAGGGTGGGGGGGTGGGAGGGGTGGGGCTGGGTGGGGAGGGGCTGGTCACCCCGTGGTGCCCTTATAAAACTCAACGTTTCACCTACTCACGCCGGCTTGTGCCCGCCCTCACAGTCGGGCATATTTGCGGAATACACCACGCCGCCGTTGACCCTGCAGGCCATTGACCGAGCAACCCAACGTTCCTACCAGCTCCCTCCACAGGAATGTGTTTTTGAAGCACCCTCCATCGCAAACGTTTGACGTTAAGGCTATTACGGGCGGGGGGATATCTTTGCCTTTGTGTCGTGGCGGAGATGGCAGTGCTGCTTGTGGTAATGGTAAGAGATGTGGTAGTGGTTAACGGGTGTAAGTTGATGGGTGGTGGAGGTGGCGATGGTGGAGGTGAGGGTCGGTGGGTCGCACAAATGTCGCGTAACTCCCTTCCCCACGCATGTCGAGGTGCGATAATCTCTGTCCGTACGGGATCGAGCGTTGCCCCCTCGCACACGCGTCTGTTCTCCTGTCGCCCCAGTTTCATCCCGCACGTAAACCACTCATCGTTAACTGGCCGATAACACCTCAACATGTAGAGGACCGCAGAGCTCAGGTAAATGACCACCGCGTGGCTGCTGATCTCCCCATTTCCCCGTCTGCGGTTCCTCCTACCGGCTCCTCCGAGTCGTCCTCTCTCTCTCTCCCCTCTCTACGAGAGCGTCGAGCGAATACTGTGCGCGCGTCGCGTTTCAAGTTGAAATTATCATCGTTCGTGTCGTGAAGGGTCGCGGGCCTTGCTGAACAGGCTTCGTGCCGGCCGCGGTCTTGCTGCTGCAGCTGCTGCTGCTGCGGCCAACTTAACCGCGGCAACAGCGCTCCGTGGACGCGGTCCGGGTTCACCCAACAAGGTCGACCCGCACGCATCCACGGCGGGCCCAGCGCGCGCCGACGCGCTCCTCACCGTGGCTTCGCGCCGCCACCGCCGGATTGGTCAGGGGCTCCACGTGGTCCTGGCGCGACGGCCGCCCGTGCGGCTGCTGCCCCCACTCGGCCGCCTCTCGCCGCCCGTGCCGTCGCGCCAGCAGCTGCTTGAAGTCGGCCCAGTCTCGGCAGCGGCGCGCTTCAGGGTCGCGGTCCACATCCCAGCGGCGGTGCGGGTTGTGCTCCTCGTAGCGCCAGCCGTGGTTCCTGGCGGCGAGACGTTAACCCCCTTATTCTTTACCACATTTCCGAAACTTTCTGCTAGTTGCAGGGTCGGGGGGGTGGGGGGGGGAGAGTCCCTGTTCAACGCTGAATCTTGGAACGTGCGAGCGGTTCGGCGTTAGTTTTATTTAGTGAGGTATAGTAGTTCTAGATTTGAAGCTTTCGTGACTGCAAGGATTCATACTCTTAGTTCTTTCGGTAAAGTCACGACTTTACCGAAAGAACTAAGAGTATAGGTATAGTAGTAGTAATAGCGTCGTTGTTTTTAAGGCGTTATTCACCGCAGAGAACCGCAGCGACACGATCGCCGTACTCAATGACAGCTGGCGCCAAACTGTGCCACGCGCCATCCCGCATGGCCTACGGGTCTCTATCTAAGTCTACAGGTCTCTGTGTAAATCTACGGGTCTCTATCTAAGTCTACGGGTCTCTGTGTGAGTCTACGGGTCTCTGTGTAAATCTACGGGTCTCTGTGTGAGTCTATGGGTCTCTGTTTGAGTCTACGGGTCTCTGTGTGAGTCTACGGGTCTCTGTGTGAGTCTACGGGTCTCTGTGTGAGTCTACGGGTCTCTGTGTAAATCTACGGGTCTCTGTGTGAGTCTACGGGTCTCTGTGTGAGTCTACGGGTCTCTGTGTAAATCTACGGGTCTCTGTGTGAGTCTACGGGCCTCTGTGTGAGTCTACGGGTCTCTGTGTGAGTCTACGGGTCTCTGTGTGAGTCTACGGGTCTCTGTGTGAGTCTACGGGTCTGTGTAAATCTACGGGTCTCTGTGTGAGTCTACGGGTCTCTGTGTGAGTCTACGGGTCTCTGTGTGAGTCTACGGGTCTCTGTGTGAGTCTACGGGTCTCTGTGTGAGTCTACGGGTCTCTATGTAAATCTACGGGTCTCTGTGTGAGTCTACGGGTCTCTGTGTGAGTCTACGGGTCTCTGTGTGAGTCTACGGGTCTCTGTGTAAATCTACGGGTCTCTATGTAAATCTACGGGTCTCTGCGTAAATCTACGGGTCTCTGTGTAAATCTACGGGTCTCTGTGTAAATCTACGGGTCTCTGTGTAAGTCTATGGATCTCCAAGCGAGTCACTGGTGACCGGGCTGACACCCATCAACTCACTGCAGTTGAGAAGCCGGTGTTACTAATGGTGGCTGTACCGGGTTCAGCGCTCTGCCCTCCGAACCAGTCGGTCGCCTCTCACCTCACCGTTACATCTTCCTCCTGCTGACGCGACTTGCTAAAGCATCCGCTTGCTACTGCAACCGTTGTCGCTGTTGCCTAATTGCTACAACAACTGCTGCGGCTACGACCGTAGTTACTACTTCTGTGACTGTACGTATGTAGAACTTCTTTCGCACCGTACTTAGCCACCCGTGCTCATCAGAGATGCAGGGGAAGGGCAACAAACGAAACCCACTGCCTCTAACACATTGTCCTGCGGAGGGAGCTGGTAGGAACGTTGGGTTGCTCGGGTCAATGCCCTGCAGGGTCAACGGCGGCGTGGTGTATTCCGCAAATATGGCCAACTGTGAGGGTGGGCACAAGCCGGCGTGAGTAGGTTAAACGTTGAGTTTTATAAGGGCACCACGGGGTGACCAGCCCCTCCCCACCTAGCCCCACCCTCCCCACCCACCACCCAGCCCCACCCTCCCCACCCAGCCCCTCCCCACCCAGCCCCTCCCCACCCTCCCCACCCAGCCCCTCCCCACCCTCCCCTTCCCACCCTCCCCTCCCCCACCCTCCCCACCCAGCCCCACCCTCCCCTCTCCACCCTCCCCACCCCATTTTTGGATGCACGACGGACACAATAATCCCTGTGGGCTGGTGTAACCAGGAGGTTCCCAACCAGTATAACTGCTTCTGTTGCAACTTCTGCTGCTGCTGCTACTAACACTGCCTACGCTGCTACAGATGCTGCCGACATCCCTTCCGCCGTTAGCCACAAGCCGACGCCGCCACCATCGCCGCCACCTCCGCCACCTCTCTCTGTGCAGATTGATCCGTCCTGCCCAGCGGCCCTCGTCGGAGCGGCGCCCGGCGGTCCCCGGCGGCACCAGGTGGCCGGGCAGCTCCCGCAGGCTCGTCGCGCAGTCGTCGGGCGCCACGTTCGGGAACCGCGCCATCGCGAAGTCCCAGCGGCAGGAGCGGACGCGACGGTGGTGGCGCCCGTCCACCGCGCTCGGCGACCCCGACACCGGCAAGGCCGGGGAGAAGCCGAAACCCCGGCAAGGCGGCGCCGCTGGTTGCTCCTCCTCTGCCGGTGCCGGTGAAGAGCCAGCGTCGGGCTCCTCCGGGCTCGAGTGCCGGTGAGCGGCGGCAGCGTCGGTGTCAGCGGCGGAGCAGCGCTCTCTCTTGCTGTCCGCCCTGCGTGCCCACGGGGGGAGGGGGCGGCCCGGCCGCGGAAACTTTACCAAGCAAAGGGAACGCAGTCGAATGATCCGCATTTAGAATCGACGTCACGTGTTAGAAGAGTTTTTGCCTGCTGCTGTAGATTTACACACGATGATGGTGATGAGCCGCTTCTTGTTCAGCTATCATGTGTGATAGGTTGCTTCTGAGAAAGAGCGATACAGCACAGCGAACCTTACCTGGTAAAATAGAAAGTTACAAATAATTTCGATTTAAAGCTTTCGTGACTGCAGGGATTCATCTTCTTGGTTCTTTTCGGTAAAGTCACGTAGAAGGGAAGTAATAAAATAATAAAAATAAAACATAATCAAATAATTCTCACGACGTTTCGGCCACAACGCAAGCAGCCGTCCTCAGGTGGAGACCAGGTGTGTCGAGAAGACAGAACTGTTCAGACGCTGTCTCCTCGACAGACCTGGTCTTCACCTGAGGATGGCTGCTTGCGTTGTGGCCGAAACGTCGTGAGAATTATTTTATTACGTTTTATTTTTATTATTTTATTACTTCCCTTCTACGTGACTTTACCGAAAGAACCAAGAAGATGAGTTTTAAACATACTTTAGGTGACGGCTTCAAAGCAATGACGGGCTGCGGTCAACAGGCCGTCGGCGCAAGGTGCTGTTAACGAGAACCCATCAAGGTCGGCACGGCACACGGGGGCGTCGGTGGCCACTCGCGTGACGTCAGTCCGTACGTGGTGAGTACGTGGTGAGTACGCGGTGAGTACGCGGTGAGTACGTGGTGAGTACGTGGCATCATAGCGTGTCTCCGCTCGTTCACCGCGTGCGACGACAGCGGCGCGGATCAGCTTCTGCAGTGGAAAAACCAAGCTGGGCTCCTCCTGACCTGGGCCGGCTTGGCACGGCTCCGATATACAGTGGAAAAAAATTAACCCGTAAAAACTAAGTTTTTCACTATAAATCCTTTATATGCGTGGTGGCTAGAGTCCTCTCGTCCTCTGGCTTGAGATGGATGCCACCTATGGGTCAGATGATTGCCTGCCACCATTAAGCAATTGGTAATTAAATATAATTTTTTTGTCCTAAAAAGTGTAAAATTTTGGAGAAAAAAAATTTCACGAACATTAATTGTCTCGCACAACGAGTCTGTGTGCAAAATGTCAGCTCGATTGGATCACGGGAAGTGGGTTAAAAAACGACCGAAAGATTTGCACGGTCGTAAGCAAGCAAGCACGCAAGCACGCAAGCAAACTTAATATAAAGGCTTTAATAAGTATAACCAGTAAAAACAAAGTTTTTCACTATAAATCCTTTATATGCGTGGCGGCTATAATCCTCTCGTCCTCTGGCTTGAGATGGCTGCCACCTATGGGTCAGATGATTGCATTGCACCATTAAGCAATTGGTAATTAAATATATTTTTGTCCTAAAAAGTGTAACATTATGGAAAAAAATATATCACGAACATTAATTGTCACGCACAACGAGTCTGTGTGCAAAATGTCAGCTCGATTGGATCACGGGAAGTGGGTTAAAAAACGACCGAAAGATTTGCACGGTCTTAAGCACGCAAGCAAGCAAACTTAATATAAAGGATTTAAAAAGCAACATAGGCCAGCGTGCAAACTAACACACACACACCCACATCACTCACTCTGGTGTTCACCGCTGCACTTCCGCTTGTGCCGTTTCTCTCCCCGGGAGACCGGCTCACTCGGCTGCTGCTCGTTCCTCGCTGGGACGTTCCTGCACAAGCAGCAGCACCGCCCAGACAAAGGTCCCCCGCATAGCCTTGAACAGACTGTTAGGGCAAGGGCTGTTAGCGAGTTGCACTTGGGAAGGGCGGCACCACGGGAGACGAGTGGATGGTGGGGTTGTCAGCACCACGCCCGGCTGCCTTTGTCTCCCCAGTGGTGATGTTTTTACACGCAGCACCAGATAATCGTCAAAGGTGTTGGTGGCCGTGAGCGGGAGTCGAACTCAGGTCGCCGGGTTTGTAGTGCAGAGCGCTAACCACTCCCCGACACCAGCATCACCGCACACGCATGTACAAAGACAAAGATCCCCCGTAAAGCCTTAACAGACTGTAGGGCAAGTGCTGTTAGCGAGCACCTATGAAGGCCGGAACGGTACACGAGGGGGTGGGTGGCCAGCACCACGCCCGCCTTTGTTTCCCCAGTGCCGATGTTACACACCGCACCAGTACTCATTTAAGGCTGAGTCGACCTAGGGGAGGCCCGGGACCGGTTCAAATAATCGTGTTAGCTGTGAGCGGGAATCGAACCCGGGTCGCCAGGTTCATAGCGCAGCGCTAACCGCTACACTACCGCTCCCCACACGCATGTACACACACACACAAGTACACGCGTGTACACACACCTGCATTAGCACCGTTGGTTTAGGTACGGTGCCAATGAAGTTCAACGTATACACGTGCATCTCATTCATAATAACACGCTCGCTCACTCACTCGGGTCTGAAGCGCGTGACCACATAGCCCAGCCTCTTGAGATGGGCGTACACCTACAGAGGCGATTGGTGAGTGGGGGGGTAGACACAGAGGGACAGCCGGTGTTAGCACTCGCGACCAAGTCAACAGACAAAATCTCCAGATCCAAAATGTATTATTGGGGTGCCACGGTGGCTAGGAGATGTTAACTACCTCGCCTGGTATACAGGAGGTCGTGGGTTCAATCCCGACGCCTGACGCCTGCTGCTGTATATTTGGAATTTACGTGTCTCTCTCTCATCATCATCATCATCACGGTGGCTAGGAGATGTCGACTACCTCGCCTGGTGTACAGGAGGTCGTGGGTTCAATCCCGACCCCTGACGCCTGCTGCTGTATATTTGGAGTTTGCGTGTCTCTCTCTCTCATCATCATCACGGTGGCTAGGAGATGTTAACTACCTCGCCTGGTGTGCAGGAGGTCGTGGGTTTGATCCTGACCCTGATGCCTGCTGCTGTATATTTGGAGTTTGCGTGTCTCTCTCTCATCGTCATCCTTTTCCAACAGATCTGCCCAGGTGGCTACCTGTCAGCAAGAGCGAGCGGCTCGCAATCGAAGGCTCGCCGGGTTCAAATCCACGTTGGGGGTTGACTCGGTTCCATCATCCCTCCGAGTGCGTTAAAATAGGTACCGCTTTGCAAGCAATTTTTTTACGTAAATTTGGGCCGGACCACTACAATGCGGCCTTAGGTGAAAGAAAAAAAACCCGATTTGGCCACGAATGATAACATCGGCCGTCACAAACCATACCTCTCCATAACAAAGGCTCAGCCTTTTGTTATGCAGTCTATTCTTAGTCTTAAGCCTCACCTTACCATATTAATAAAAAGTGTGCCGTACTTGGCCCTTCCCCCCTCTCCAACCATTATATAAACGGAGTGGTAGCTCTTGTAATCTCTCATTTACTTGATACAGCTATCGTGGCTGTGACGGTTCCACCTGAAGACGGAAGCTTGTGTTGCCCTCCGAAAACGTGGTGATTTTTATTATATTTTACTTTTATTAATTTTAATTTTTTACCTACGTGACTTTACCGAAAAAACCTAAGAATATGAATCCTTGCAGTCACGAAAGCTTCAATCTAGAATATGTAAACCGCAATACGCGCGCCGAGCGATGATCCACCGGGGTTCGTGACGCACCTGATACTGGTGGAGCGAGAGGCCTTCGGTAGCGAGGGCCAGCTCATGGCCTTCCTGTATGGACAGCGGAAGCCCTCGCACCCTCAGCTCTATAGAGCCCTGGCGCGCACACGAGATGGAAAGTCGTCACAACCGGGTCACGATCGGCAATCCGCTGCTGGATGAAAGGCCTCCTCCCCCCCCAAGAACGTCGCCAGCTCTCACGGGCCTCGCAAGGAAACAATCCGACGTTACATCCGTGCTGTGCGGTGAACTTCTTTCGCACGCCGTACGTAATCGGAGGTGCGGGGGCAGGGACGACGAACTAAAACACGAAGGGCAGTTGTGTTTCGCTTTGTTGTCCTGAACAATCATTGGGCGCGGCGTGCAGCGTGGAACGAGTTAATTTCTATTTGAATGGGAGGAGGTAAATTGGTAAACGCGGAATGACAGAGCGTGGTGGTGGTGGTGGTGGTCGGTGGTGTATGGTGGTGGTGGTAGTAGTAGTGGTGGTGGTAGTAGTGGTGGTAGTTGTGGTGGTGGTAGTTGTGGTGGTAGTGGTGGTAGTAGTGGGGTGGTAGTAGTGGTGGTAGTAGTAGTGGTGTTAGTAGTGGTGGTGGTAGTGGTGGTGGTAGTAGTGGTGGTGGTGGTAGTAGTGGTGGTAGTAGTGGTGGTGGTAGTAGTGGTGGTGGTGGTAGTAGTGGGTGGGTGGTAGTAGTGGTGGTAGGGTAGCGATGGTGGTAGTAGTGGTGGTAGTGGTTAGTAGTGGTTGGTGGGGTAGTGGTGGTGTAGTAGTGGTGGTAGTGGTAGTAGTGGTGATGCTAGTGAGCTCGTAGTTGGTGTGTCGTGGTGGTAGTGGTGGTAGTGGTAGTAGTGGTAGTAGTGGTGGTAGTAGTGGTAGTAGTGGCTGGTCCGTGGTGGTCATGGTGATAGTAGTGGTAGTAGTGGTGGTGGTCATGGTTTTAGTGTGGTTAGTAGTGGTAGTAGTGGTGGTAGTGGTGGTGGTAGTGGTGGTAGTGGTGGTAGTGGTAGTAGTGGTGGTAGTAGTGGTAGTGAGTGGTGGTCGCTGGTGGTCATGGTGGTAGTAGTGGTAGTAGTGGGTGGTGGTCATGGGTGTTAGTGGTGGTAGTAGTGGGTAGTAGTGGTGTTAGTGGTGGTAGTGGTGGTAGTGGTAGTAGTGGTAGTAGTGGTGGTAGTAGTGGTAGTAGTGGTGGTCGTGGTGGTCATGGTGGTAGTAGTAGTGTAGTAGTAGTGGTAGTAGTGGTGGTAGTAGTGGTGGTAGTAGTGGTGGTAGTGGTGGTAGTGGTAGTAGTAGTGGTGGTAGTGGTGGTAGTGGTTAGTAGTAGTGGTGGTTAGTAGTAGTGGTAGTAGTAGTGGTAGTAGTAGTGGTAGTGGTGGTAGTAGTAGTGGTAGTAGTGGTGGTAGTGGTGGTAGTAGTAGTGGTAGTAGTAGTGGTAGTGGTGGTAGTAGTAGTAGTAGTGGTGGTAGTAGTGGTGGTAGTAGTAGTGGTAGTAGTGGTAGTAGTAGTGGTAGTAGTGGTAGTAGTAGTGGTAGTAGTGGTAGTAGTAGTGGTAGTGGTGGTAGTAGTGGTGGTAGTAGTGGTAGTAGTGGTACTAGTGGTCGGTCAAGAGAAGCCGGAGGAAACCCGGCACACAAACGAACCAAAAACGGCAGCGCATTTCGGAGGCAGGACGCACGGTGGGCGATGAACCACCGGTGGGTGTGAAACAAACACTGCAGCCACAGAACACCGCAAAGTCCCGAGACGCCGCGGCTGAGAAACACCGCGGCTACAATCCGGCGCACCCGCGACCGCGCTCACTCACACACTCTAGCAGGTAGAGGGCCTCCTCTGGGTAGAGCAGCTGCCTGCCGTTCACCATATGGCCCATCGTCTGCCAGAACTTGCCCTGCGTGGGAGGGGGAGGGAGGAGGGAGGGAGGGGAGGGAGGAGAGGGAGGGTCAGGCAGGTGCATTCGCCGCTATGGTGCTGGTAGCGCAGCAGCAGGGGGATCTGGTGATGGGTTTTGAGGGTGATTTGTGTTTCTTGTTGGTGTCTATGAACACAGTAACCACAATGGGACCTAATGTTACACGGGAAACTCGCGTTAAATCTTTGAAAGAAAAAAATACAACAAACGACATGATGAACGAAGTAAAGTGCCGAAAGACTGAGCATCTTTCTCGTCTGATCGTTAAAGAAAAAAGGGAAAAAAAGGAGGGAGTGGAGGGAGGGAGGGGAACGGGAGGGAGAGAGAGGGAGAGAGGGAGGGAGGGAGGGATGGGAGGGGAGGGGGGAAGGAGAAGGGAGGGAGGCATTCGGTGTTAAACTCATGCAAACTTGAGGTCCCATCCCCCCCACCCCGAGGCTGATTTTACTCTGCAGGGAATGTAAATATTTTGCTTTGGGATTCCTCGTTGTGAGTGTGGTTTTTGTTGTTGCTCTGATTGCTTACTTAATTTCAGTGTTTTTGTTTTTTTTTATTTGCAATTTTGGTCTCTTGAGTTGTTGAAAAACTCGCTCACCTCGCTCACCCTCTCTCGCCATCTCACTCACTCACGAATCCACTCACCTACCGACTCAGCCACTCACCCACCCACACATCTACTCGCACACGCATTCACACATCGAAACAATCACCCACCCGCCCATCGACGCACGATTCACCCAAACGCCCACGCACCCACCCGCCCGCCCAACCACCCACCAGGCAAATTAGACTCTATCCTGGTCTCCTAAGTTCTCATCTGGTTACACAAAATCAACTTGACATTTGAACCACTGCTATGTGACTGCATGGATTGTATACACATTATTGTAAATGGTTCCAAATATTTGCCAATATTCCCCAAAAATATTCGCAAATGACCCAATTGGCATCTACAAAGTAAGCATCATCCCCTGACGGTGTAAACCTGGCAGGGCTCTCTGTAACAAATATATGAAGGCTAATTTAACCAAATTTAGAAAACACAATTACAGCACAACCTCCGTTATCCGACATCCATGGGGAATGGATGGTGCCGGATATTCAAATATGCCGGTTATCTGAGAGTCATTCATACTTATCGTTCCACCAATCTAAAAAACTTTTCAAGAAACTCAAACTTACATTTTAACTATGATATAAGAATATATGATGTAAGAAATAATACTGGTAGGAACCTCCTGGTTCCACCAGCCCACAGGGGATTATTGTGTCCATCCGTCCGTCGTGCAGAGAGGGGCTGGGTGGGAGGGGGAGGGTGGGGAGGGGCTGGGTGGTTAACGAGGGCATTCCAGATGGCGTAGTGCCAGATGAGAGGGCTTTTGCTGTGCGCATGGATCCCTGTACACGGGCGAAAGTTCGGAGTGATACACTCATGAATGGCTCAGCACGGGACCTCAACTCACAGGTTTAGACTTCAACTCCACTTTCTCTCTTCCGCAATCCATTCGGTCTGCACCAGATTCCCGCTGTTGCACAGCACAATACAGCTTGCTGCACAGCACAATACAGCTTGCAGCTCAAGACAGCCGTAGCACACATCAACGTCGTCGTCATCATCGTCGTCATCACCAACATCAGAATCGTTATTATCGCCACCGTAATTATCATCTTCATTACCACCACCACCTCCATCATCATCGCAAACTATGATTATCGTCGTAGTCAACCCAGAAAAGCAGGATAAATTGCCGTGCAGAACAGAACACACAAATATTTACACCATTGGAACCTCATTTGCCAGTAGAAAAATATAATTGTTTTTTTACCCTTTTATCTGGCAACAAAACTGACACCTTTTTTACAAGGAGTCATGTTTGCACATGGTGTGGACCAGATGACGCCAAAAGGCGCACGACGTCATCTGGTCCAACACCATGTGAGACTAGGCTCTAAGGAAAGCTGTCTCGGGTGTGGACCAATCAACTTCAAGGACAGTGCATACATTATCAGAGTGTGTTTTTGTTTGCATTCCGACTGCAGGTATTGTGGTCTATGCAAACATGACTCCTTGTATAATAATACTACTCTCATTTTTTATCGCGTCATTCATGCTAACAGCATCCCATAACGCTGTACATTCATTATATAAGAGGACCAAATGCCACCTGAAAACTGTTGTGCACACTTTTGTGGATTTTGCTATCCGACACAACGTAGGCTGAAGTGGTAACTGATTGACGCGTTTTGTTTACCGTGACAAACCATTACTGGCCGTGTCGGGTGGTGGAGGGGTTACGACACATTTATACTCTTGGTTCTTTCGGTAAGTCACGTGGGTATAAATAAAATAGAATCACGACGTTTTGGGCGCAACACAAGCATCCGTCATCAGGTGGGAAAGCCATGGTCTGCTGCTGATGCAGATTGTTTTAAAAGGTCTGAAATGGGTGTAGCCCAAGGGTTGTAAAAAGTGGCCGGGCTAGCTTCAATTCAAGATTGACACATTTATACTTGCACGATCTAACCCAAAAACTTATTATGATTTCATGAATGCACTGATTACCATGTCTTTTTCATAGTATGTGTTTATGTTGTTAGCATCTTTGTATATTCACATCCATTGTTTAAATAATTACAAAGTAAATTTTTGTGGGTGAAATGGTGCTTTTGATGCTAGCGGAATGCTTTAACGTGCATTTCCTATACTTGCTTAACGACTGGTTACGTGGAACCAATTACAGTCGTTAAAAGGGGGTTCCACTCATTGGTGACATTTACTCAATGGGAAGGTTATTTTGTGGGCTCTATGGGAGTCTACTGTGGTGCCTTGTCTGGCACAGTAGGGGGTACAGCTGGTGGTGCATCTACCGGTCATCTCAGTCAGCCAACCCATGCACCTGCTGGGTCTGTCCCGTGTACCTCCTGCACCTAGTCTGGCACAGTAGGGGTGTACAGCTGGTGGTGCATCTACCAGTGGTCATCTCGTCACCAACCCATGGCACCTGCTGGGTCTGTCCTGCGACCTCCTGCAACCTAGCCTGGCACAGTAGCGGGGTACAGCTGGTAAGCATCTACCAGTGGTCATCTCCAGTTCGGCCAACCCTGGCACCTGCTGGGTCTGTCCCGCGACTCCTGCACCTAGCCCTGGCACAGTAGGGGGGTAAGCTGTGGTGCATCTACCCGGTCATCTCGTCAGCCAACCCATGGCACCTGCTGGGTCTGTCCGCTGTGACCTCCTGCACCTAGCCTGGCAACAGTAGGGGGTACAGCTGGTGATTGCATCTATAAGGGTCATCTCAGTCAGCCAACCCATGGCACCCTGATGGGTCTGTTCCAAGACATCCTGCACCTAGCCTGGCACAGTAGGGGGGTACAGCGGTGGTGCATCTACCAAGTGGTCAATCTCAGTCAGCCAACCCATGGCACCTGCTGGGTCTGTCCCGCGACCTCCTGCACCTAGCCTGGCACAGTAGGGGGACACCTGGTGGTGCATCTACCGGTCATCTCAGTCAGACAACCCATGGCACCTGCTGGGTCTGTCCCGCGACCTCCTGCACCTAGCCTGGCACAGTAGGGGGGTACAGCTGGTGGTGCATCTACCAGTGGTCATCTCAGTCAGCCAACCCATGGCACCTGCTGGGTCTGTCCCGTGACCTCCTGCACCTAGCCTGGCACAGTAGGGGGTACAGCTGGTGATGCATCTATAAGTGGTCATCTCAGTCAGCCAACCCATGGCACCTGCTGGGTCTGTTCCAAGACCTCCTGCACCTAGCCTGGCACAGTAGGGGGGTACAGCTGGTGGTGCATCTACCAGTGGTCATCTCAGTCAGCCAACCCATGGCACCTGCTGGGTCTGTCCCGCGACCTCCTGCACCTAGCCTGGCACAGTAGGGGGGTACAGCTGGTGGTGCATCTACCGGTCATCTCAGTCAGCCAACCCATGGCACCTGCTGGGTCTGTCCCGCGACCTCCTGCACCTAGCCTGGCACAGTAGGGGGTACAGCTGGTGATGCATCTATAAGTGGTCATCTCAGTCAGCCAACCCATGGCACCTGCTGGGTCTGTTCCAAGACCTCCTGCACCTAGCCTGGCACAGTAGGGGGGTACAGCTGGTGGTGCATCTACCGGTCATCTCAGTCAGCCAACCCATGGCACCTGCTGGGTCTGTCCCGTGACCTCCTGCACCTAGCCTGGCACAGTAGGGGGGTACAGCTGGTGGTGCATCTACCGGTCATCTCAGTCAGCCAACCCATGGCACCTGCTGGGTCTGTCCCGTGACCTCCTGCACCTAGCCTGGCACAGTAGGGGGTACAGCTGGTGATGCATCTATAAGTGGTCATCTCAGTCAGCCAACCCATGGCACCTGCTGGGTCTGTCCCAAGACCTCCTGCACCTAGCCTGGCACAGTAGGGGGGTACAGCTGGTGGTGCATCTACCGGTCATCTCAGTCAGCCAACCCATGGCACCTGCTGGGTCTGTCCCGTGACCTCCTGCACCTAGCCTGGCACAGTAGGGGGGTACAGCTGGTGGTGCATCTACCGGTCATCTCAGTCAGCCAACCCATGGCACCTGCTGGGTCTGTCCCGTGACCTCCTGCACCTAGCCTGGCACAGTAGGGGTACAGCTGGTGATGCATCTATAAGTGGTCATCTCAGTCAGCCAACCCATGGCACCTGCTGGGTCTGTTCCAAGACCTCCTGCACCTAGCCTGGCACAGTAGGGGGGGTACAGCTGGTGATGCATCTACCGGTCATCTCAGTCAGCCGACCCATGGCACCTGCTGGGTCTGTCCTGTGACCTCCTGCACCTAGCCTGGCACAGTAGGGGGTACAGCTGGTGATGCATCTATAAGTGGTCATCTCAGTCAGCCAACCCATGGCACCTGCTGGGTCTGTTCCAAGACCTCCTGCACCTAGCCTGGCACAGTAGGGGGGTATAGCTGGTGGTGCATCTACCGGTCATCTCAGTCAGCCGACCCATGGCACCTGCTGGGTCTGTCCCGTGACCTCCTGCACCTAGCCTGGCACAGTAGGGGGGTACAGCTGGTGGTGCATCTACCGGTCATCTCAGTCAGCCGACCCATGGCACCTGCTGGGTCTGTCCTGTGACTCCTGCACCTAGCCTGGCACAGTAGGGGGTACAGCTGGTGATGCATCTATAAGTGGTCATCTCAGTCAGCCAACCCATGGCACCTGCTGGGTCTGTTCCAAGACCTCCTGCACCTAGCCTGGCACAGTAGGGGGGTACAGCTGGTGGTGCATCTACCGGTCATCTCAGTCAGCCGACCCATGGCACCTGCTGGGTCTGTCCCGTGACCTCCTGCACCTAGCCTGGCACAGTAGGGGGTACAGCTGGTGGTGCATCTACCGGTCATCTCAGTCAGCCGACCCATGGCACCTGCTGGGTCTATCCCGTGACCTCCTGCACCTAGCCTGGCACAGTAGGGGGTACAGCTGGTGATGCATCTATAAGTGGTCATCTCAGTCAGCCGACCCATGGCACCTGCTGGGTCTGTTCCAAGACCTCCTGCACCTAGCCTGGCACAGTAGGGGGGGTACAGCTGGTGATGCATCTACCGGTCATCTCAGTCAGCCAACCCATGGCACCTGCTGGGTCTGTCCCGTGACCTCCTGCACCTAGCCTGGCACAGTAGGGGGCGGTACAGCTGGTGATGCATCTACCGGTCATCTCAGTCATCTGACCCATGGCACCTGCTGGGTCTGTCCTGTGACCTCCTGCACCTAGCCTGGCACAGTAGGGGGTACAGCTGGTGATGCATCTATAAGTGGTCATCTCAGTCAGCCGACCCATGGCACCTGCTGGGTCTGTCCTGTGACCTCCTGCACCTAGCCTGGCACAGTAGGGGGTACAGCTGGTGATGCATCTATAAGTGGTCATCTCAGTCAGCCGACCCATGGCACCTGCTGGGTCTGTTCCAAGACCTCCTGCACCTAGCCTGGCACAGTAGGGGGGGTACAGCTGGTGATGCATCTACCGGTCATCTCAGTCAGCCGACCCATGGCACCTGCTGGGTCTGTCCCGTGACCTCCTGCACCTAGCCTGGCACAGTAGGGGGTACAGCTGGTGGTGCATCTACCGGTCATCTCAGTCATCCGACCCATGGCACCTGCTGGGTCTGTCCTGTGACCTCCTGCACCTAGCCTGGCACAGTAGGGGGTACAGCTGGTGATGCATCTATAAGTGGTCATCTCAGTCAGCCAACCCATGGCACCTGCTGGGTCTGTTCCAAGACCTCCTGCACCTAGCCTGGCACAGTAGGGGGGGTACAGCTGGTGATGCATCTACCGGTCATCTCAGTCAGCCGACCCATGGCACCTGCTGGGTCTGTCCCGAGACCTCCTGCACCTAGCCTGGCACAGTAGGGGGGTACAGCTGGTGGTGCATCTACCGGTCATCTCAGTCAGCCAACCCATGGCACCTGCAGGGTCTGTTACGTGACCTCCTGCACCTAGCCTGGCACAGTAGGGGGGGTACAGCTGGTGGTGCATCTACCGGTCAT